TCCTCTCATGTGTGGGCAGTTTATTTTTATCTGACTGTTTGTGGGAGCAGTTTGGAGCACCACACCCCTGAGAGTGGGAGTTCCTACAGTGGCCAGCCTTTGTGTCAGAGGAGAGAGCCAGCCATTTACAGTTCCCTGCTTCTTGCACTCAGCTGTTTTGCTAAAGGACAAGATTATCAGAAGTCATTTCTAGAGAAACATTTTTATCAGCAAACAACATAGTTTACTGCTTGGAACTTTTATTTTGAGAAAGGTATTTTATAGCCATATAATTATTACATATTTATGATACTAATTTGCCAAATAAGGAGTAAAATGTTCTGAGAACACTATTATTGTGGATAATGGTGTCTTACACCCAATTTTCACTCACTGGTAAGTTCTTTTCTTTTTTTCTGCTTCCTTAAATTCATCTCGTATATTTGAAACTTGTATTTCACCATTCTAGGCTCACTAGATTGTTGAGCCTGAGAAAATGTTCTCTCTTTTTAAATGTTGTTAAAAATTGAAGGAATTTTTCATTTTTGACAGAATACAATGAGTGAGGAAGTTATTGATGCCCTTTCCGCCTCACTGGGAACTCGGAAGCCGGAGCCTGAGCTGGACCTGAGTTCTCTGAAGGAAGTCAGTGAGGTACTGTATGGGGGATTCACATGGAGTGTGTCTGCAGTTTGTGGAGCTAAATGCATTATGTATAGATGGAATTCTTACATTATACTCTTATTTCTTCATGAACTGTTCTGCATTCGGCCTTCTACTCAGAGTCTGGTTATTCTAGGCATTTATTATTCGGTGACAACTGAGAAGGCTATTTGAGTCTTTCTACAATTTTAATATTTGAAATGAAGGGTAATCCTCTCTGCCAAAGCCTAGGTGTCACTTTGTGAAACAAGATAGCAAGATGTCAGTGTCGGCAGCCTGTTGAGTAGTTAGGAAGTCGGCCTGCTCTCGTGGCAGTTGGACATTTGTATTTCCAGAAGTTTCTGTGTGCTTTTGTTTGTCTTGTAAGGAAAGATGAAGATGCGGGTAGAGTGGGGTAGGATGGGAGCTGTAAGCTTGTCATGACTACTTCCTTGTTAATTCTGAAGAAAGATATTAAAATTGTTAGCTCAGATCCTAAGAAAATCTAGTACGATTAATTCTTCAACTAGAAGTCCTGCATACTTTGAACATGATGTTGATAAGTGTTCATCCAACCAATACTCTAAGATCTTAACCTGCCTACTGAGTGATGCTACCAAGCCCAAGGTGGATGACTCTAATTTGTGGCCCTCAGGCCTAGTTTTAATTGTTTTTGGTCAAACATTATTCTAGGTCCTATAACCCTGGTGTGTCCACATGCTGTACGGAGGTAACTCATAGTTGCTGTGATGCTGAACACTGTGACACTGATGTGTCAAATGTAAGAATGGTTACCCATGGTTGACAGTGTTTGGTGGGGCTCCCCGATTAAAACAAGCTTGGAAGCAGGAGTGGCATCCACTTCCGTAACAGCTTCCCTCCAGAAACCCAATGAACCTGGAGAAAGGACGAAAGTTATACAAGTGTTCAGGTCTTTCGTTCATAGGGTCTCTATGAGTTGCCTATGACTCTATGGCACTTAACAACAACTGAGTCAAAGCAAGCTTCTGTTTGGTATAATAGGCTTTAATAAATGTTTTGTAGAATTCTTTTGACCCAGTCTTCTGAGAGAGGAATGATGGAAATTGAGGAATGGAGAGGAGAGTGACCCTAGGGACATTCCAGGCAAGACATGTTAGGAAAGCGAGAGAGAAGCCCAGGGAGGTGAAGAGAGGAGAAGCCCCAGGAGGTGAAGAGAGGAGAAGCCCCAGGAGATGAAGAGAGGAGGCAGTGAGCCTGAAGGGCCCCACCCTATCAGTTCATAGGTGATGCTGTCACAAAGCCACTGTCTCTACTGTCACTTCCTGGCTCCCAGTTGTCAGGGAGGGGGAGCCTCCCAGACTCCCAGCAGCTCTACCTGAGTCTGGGCCCACCCTAGTCCAAAATGGGCCAGTTTCTGTCTTCCACTTACCTTGAGGGCTCACCAGGCACGATGTGGCAGAATAGAATTTGTGAAAATGAACGCAAAGGAGCAGGGGAAGCAGCAACCCTTCTCCTCCAGGACCAAGTAATGTATTTAAGAATCAAGGAAACTTCCTGAAAACACAGTGTGGAATGTGTATTATGTAGAGCATCCTGAATGCTTGCTGTGTACTTTCAGGGAAAGGGTGGTTTTGACAAACTCATGAGGGAAATTGGAGACCAGTTGTGGTTCCATCACCAGAACTCCATGGTCTTGTGTGAATGGGACTCAGGCTCCTTAACAGAGAATCAGGATGATTGAATAAGGGCAAAAGAGTCTGAGAGGAATGAAAATTTGTCCAGTAAATGTGAAAATGTCACGTGAAAGGAACTTTTAAAGCTGTTTTAATGATTAGTTTTAGGAAGCAGATAAAATATATTAAATTTTATCTAGAAAACCTCGGAACATCAGTTAACCACTAAAATTCCAGCAAAAGGAACTCTTTTGCATTCCTTTGACTTACTGGTTTTCCAGGTTAATCCTGTACAACATATCCTTCTTTGTGAAGGAGGCTCTTTAAGTCTCCTGACTCTTGGCACTGAATTTCCCCGGTGGTGAGTGCAGTGTGTCCTGGGAGTCTGTTGTTGTGATGTGCTCAGAAAGTCTGATGGTCAGCATGGGGAGACCACCCCTCCATGGTTTTCCACAGCTTTGTGGAAAATACTTCCGAGATGAGGTGCTGAAATGTTAATTCTACCAATGGTATCTCATTATATCTCTCTTCTATTTGTTGGTTTGGTTCCCTAGTTGAGTGCTGTTTCGGTTCAGAAAACATTGGTTGCTCTACATGTACTGTATACCAATAGTGCAGGCCCTTTAAAGGATTCAAAGATAAACACAGGGAAGAAAGGATTTGGCCGAGCATGGAACTCCCAAGGTCACCACATGTGATCTTTTCATCTTTTTCTTTCTGTGAATTATGGCATAGAAGTGTAATTCCAAAGCCTACATATATATAGCAATGACTGCCTCGCTGGTGATGCTTGATGACTTTACAGTAAATTAATTAATTAAATAGTGCTATCATGTGTCTTTGGATCTGTTCCAATTCCTCATGACCTTTTAGTTCAGGGTAGAATGATCGGGTTTCCTAGGCTATAATCCTTATTCCCATAAAGATCAGCAGTTCTTTTCTTCTACTCTGTGGAGGGTGGGTTTGAATTACTGACCTTTTGGTTGGAAGCTGAGCTTTTAACCATTGCACCACCAGGGATCCTTCAATCAATGGAGAATCATTATCTTAGATTGGCATCTAGATTGAAGCAGTGGTTTGGACTCAAATTACCTAAGTGACTTCCATTTCCTAAGGCACATCAAATTCTTCATCTTACACTTTAAATCCATGCCTTAATATAGGTACAAAATAGTAAATGCACAGAAATCTGATGGTTACTTACCAGGAGTTTAAAATACAAACATTATATCATGGAAAGCCAGTGATTGACGATAGAGTGACAATTTTCTTTCTGGTGTGTTAGGTTGTTTCTGGGCCTGTAATGCAGTGCAGTCTCAGTGCTGTTGCAAGGACACCTTTCAAAAGAGAGACAGTTAATTTAGCCATAGATCTGCTAAGATTTGTGATGGGACATTTTTCCACTTCCTAACTGGATTTAACATTCGTCGGGACGAAGTGGGACTCTCCCCTGCCCCTTCTTTAATGGTCACATAATTAAGACAGGTAAGGGCTATTAAAATTATTGCAACTGAATTCTGCACCACCGTTACCGTCTTTGAAGGATCTTTTGCTTTGTTGTTTCTGGAGATCCTGACAAATCACTTAGCTTGTTTGGGATAACTGTGTGTCAGGGAGTCTATTCCCGTTCATAAAAACCTCACGTGACAGAATAGTATTGCTCCATAACATTTCCTAGGCTGTAATCTGTACAAAAGCTTATCTTTCTCCCCTAGAAAGGCTTGTGAGTTCAAACTACCAACAGTGCTTAGCAGGCAGGTAATTAACCATTGTGTCCCTAAAGCTAAGGATTTAATAGCCTTATTTTACAGCTAAAGAATCCAAGCTGGAGACAAGTTTTCTTTTCCCAAAGGCACAGAGCTCAGGAGAGCAGATCACCAAACCACCCAGGACTCCTGTCTCTGCTTTGCTCTTCTTAGTCACCCCATACTGCCTCCCACGCAGCCCTCCACAAGGACCCAGACGGAGCACTGTCAGCTGCTTTCATCTGGTCTGATCTTCTCTATAATCCGATGTCAGTTAGAGAAGTAATCTCACTCATTTACACATATTCTCCAGATGTCTTTTCCTCCCCTTCGTTTTCATCAGGCAAAATCCAGAGAAGAAAAGCTAAAGACATGTGGTGAAGATGATGAAACGATCCCACCTGAGTTCAGATTAAAACCAGACAAGGTAAGTTTTCAGCCATAGTGCAAAACAGCCGCATATTCATCTTGCCTTTCTGTCCTGTGTGGTAATATCTACATACTTGAAGCAAAGGTCCCCTGAACTGTTCTTGCTCTGAAAGCCCTGAGCCTTTACTTCTCTGCCGTCTATAAAAGATAGTTCATCCCTGTCTGAGTTCCTAACTTGCTGTTGTTTGGTGCCAAGCTGAGTACAACCCATAGCAATCCTATGAAGAACAGATCTGAACCCTGTCCCATTCTATGCCAGCCTCACCTTTTCTGACACATTAGAGCCCACTGCGGCAGTCACCCACACATTCAGGTGTTGCATTAATTAGCAAGGATTGGCATAGATCCCTAACTTTAAATCAGAAAGAATGAGAAATGGTTTAGCGCTAAGTTTTTCTTTATCAGATGGATAAAAGCACCCATCGATCTTCTCAGTAGCAAATATCATATACAACTACTCATGCCAAAATAAACCAAATTCATTGCCATTGAGTTATTTCAGTCCATGGTGATTATTCAAGTCAAGTATTGGGCAGAGTAGATCTTCTCTGCTGGGGTTTCCTAAGCAGCTCACCAGGTCTCTTCTCCCAAGAGGCAGCTGGTAAGTTTGAACTACTGACCTTTTAGTTAGCAGCTGAGTTGCACTGTGCGACCGGGTCTCTTTACAACTCCTTATGAATATTGTCAAGTAGGTAGTTTTGTTAATAGTGTGTATTAGATATGAGGATTATTCACTGACTCTTATAATTATTTTCATATTATCTTTAAAATAATACATATAAACAAATTGTGGAAAATTGTTGTGACTTTCCTCTAGAAGTTTTTAAATTTTATAAATATTCTTCTGGAGGCCTAGTGATACGGAGTTTCCTTGCCATCCCAAAGGCAGAGGGCTTAAATCCACCAGCTACTACATGGAGTAAAGAGGTGCCGTCTCCTCCTGTGGGATTAGCTTCCAAAATGCCACTGGAGGATTAGCTATGAGTCTGTTCTAACTCGATGACACATTACAGTAACAAATTGTGAAAATGGTTTTAGAAATTTTCTTTCCCTCTTTGCCCTTGTGTAATCTTTTTTAAAAATCTTTCTTTAATTTAGCTCTATCTTTCCTAACAAATTTTTTTCTAATGTTTTGTCCAATAATTGGAACAATTTTTTTTAGTTCCATTTAAGGAAATGTAACTATACCTAATATTTAGTAAAATTTTATCAACAGTGTCTGTTTAACTTTATATAAGCTACTGAAGCAACAAAAACTATAGTAGAGGTACCAAATCACCTTGATTGCATGCCAATCCCTTATCCTCATACTTTGTAAAAGGTCAATACTAAACACAGATTTATGGATATAGAATAAGAAATAAAAGAATTTCTCTCCTACAATTCTCAGAAGCTTTATGGAATATGAAAATGACATTTTTATTTTCTTTTCCTACAGGATGGAAAACTACCATTGCCTGAGCCTGGAGAAAAACCAAAGGTTGATATCTAAGTTTTGTCTGAGACTTAGAAAACGATACAAGTATAACATATAGATTGAGATCTTTCTGACAGGCCTGATTTCACTATGGACACATCTATGCTAACCTGATGATTAGGAGAGGGACACATCTGACAGAAACATTTGCAAGATATCTCCTTGTTTGATTTGTTTAAATAATGATTTTCACCAGACTGATTAATATTCTTTAAATATTAGTTGTTGATGTCAATATGACTCTGTTACTAGATTGAGCGACAGATTAATCCTAATCATGGGATTAGCTATTCTTAGTGATTCATAGCAACCATCATAGTTACCTGTAGTGAGAAGAGTAATTAGAAAACTAATAATCGCTCACTGTGTAAATGCATGATGTTACATCCTTTTTTGGTCCTAACTGAATGAGAAAGGCATTCTTATTATACCGATTCCACAGATGAGGAATTTGAGACTCAGAGAGGTTAAATAAATTGCCCAGGGTCATTTAACTAGAAAACACCAAAACTAGGTCTAAAATGCAGGCTGTTAACCTTGAACCTAGATTCTGAATCACCATGCTGTCATTGGAGAACTATTGTTGTCAGTCAGAATCTTTGTATACCTCAATGAAAGAAGTAAGGCAGCAGAACTCCCCTGTCAAAAGCATATATAGACGTAGAACAGGAATGTGTAGCCTTGGTTTCCTCTGACTTAAAAAGGAAGCAAGAAAAAAATAATCACACCAGAACAACTTCACCCGTATTCACTGGGAAAAGGCAGGCCATTTGAATAAAATTCTTCTGAAGTGTATCAAGAAGAGTTTTGACTAAGTAAAGGATTAAAAAATGCACTAAAGTATTATTATTCTATAGTCATTCCATGACAGATTTATCCTACATTGGTGGATGAAAAGGCCCATTTTGAAATATCTCATTTAAAAAAACTGTGGACAAAAATGCAGACACTTTAAGAATTATATAAACTAGCTTCAGACTTTAAATTCTAATTATGGCTTAATAAAATGTTTTTCATTAACTTTTTTTCTAATAAAATAAAATGAATCATTTGATAATACAGTTTACTTCTTTTTTTACATTCCAGCTCCTGAGTGAATCAGAACTCTTTGATGAACTTTCAGAAGACTTTGACCAATCTAAAAGTAAAGAGAAACCATCTAAACCAACTGAAAAAGTGAAAGTACGTTTCTAAATAAGAATCTCTAGTTGGGCTTGCTTTCCCCCCTGGTTTTGTATAATTTTAAAAACATGACACAAAAACACAAGTGGTCCCATCCATTTTCACATTCACTTTTGTATTACCTTTTTCTTAATGTCCAAGCCAACTTTGATATTCCCAGAGGCCATTTCTACCAGAAAAGTCTCTCAAATCTTTTCCTTGTTTCTAGTCCTCTTTCTGTAATGGGCCTAAATTTATTATTGTCTCTCATTTCAAGGATAAAGTGTGGGAGGCAGGAGGGACAGAAAAGGAGGTTTAGTGGCAATGAAAACAACAGGCAGAAAGTGGGGAATTTGTGATTACATGGTGTATATTGTAATTCATTTATGCAACAGACTATGTAGGAATGGTTGCAGTTTGCTTTGTAAACGGTCACTCAGATCACACGTGAATAAATAAAGATCACAACAGCTTTTTCTTTCTCTACTCTATCATTTATATCTCCTAGAATTATAATTTTTCCAAACATGCTTGGGCTCATGGCAGTTCTCAACCCCCAGCTTCCTTCCCTACCATGTGTTGCTCTTAAATCACTTGACCACGGATCTGTGTGTCTCCCTGACTTTTCTCATGGGGCCCTTGCTATCTGAAATTCTTTTTCTTTCTACATATACATTAACAAAAGCCCTACTCATCTTGTAAGACTCTGCTGAAATTTGGATTCCTGTTCTTTTATTCTTTGTCCCCTAAACCATACCGCTTCCCTCCCATCCCTTTATCTACCACAATGTAATAGCCGGGTGTACAGACATCTGTCCCTCTTAGAGCCTTTGTTGCAGTCTGGTGTTGGTCCATATTCAGTCTATGTATCTATGTATTGTTCTGATTGTTAAGTGCTGTAAAGCCGGACTCTTAGTGACTCCATGTATAACAGATAAAAATTTTGTCTGGTCCTGTACTATCCTCCTAATCTCTGCTGCATGTAAGCCCATTGTTCCAGTTACTGTGTAAATCCATGGTAGGGAGTTGTCTTCTCTTCCTCTGACCTTCTACTTTCCAAAGCATGAGGTCCTGGTCTCTCCTTGATAACATGGTCCATGATAACATGCCCAAAATATGAGAGGTGAAGTTTCACCATCCTTCCTGCTACGGAGCCCTCTAGCCACACTCCTTCCAAGAGATATTTGCTTGTTCATATTCTTTTGGCAGCTCAAGGGATATTAAATGCTCTTCACCAACAGTACAATTAAAAGGCATTTCTTCTTTAGTCTTCCTTACTTTCCAAATTTCACTTGCATGTAGAGCAATGACATACCATGGTTAGGGTCAAGTACAACTTATTCTTTAAAGTAACATGCTCGTCCCTTCACACTTTTGAGCAGTCGATGGCTGCAGACATGCGCAGTGAAAACACGTTGATTTAAGTATTGCTGCTCCCATGGATGTTGACTGTAATCCAAGTAAAATGTAATCTTTAACAACTTCAGTCTTTTCTCCATTTATCATAATAATGCTTATACTAGTACACTCTTGGTACCAGCAGCCAGGAAGTTAAAAGATGAATTGCATTGGGAAAGTCAGCTGTCAGAGACCTCTCCAAAGTACTGAAGAGCAATGATGTCAGTCTGGAGACTAAGATGTACCTTATACAGGCCATGGTCTTTGCATTTACTTACTATGCATTAGAGAGCTAGACAATGCCTAGGGATGATAGAAGGAGAATTGATGCCTTTGAGCTGTGATGCTGGAGTATTGAATATACCACGGACTGCTAGGAGAACAAACAGGTTCATCCTAAAGAGGGGGAAGCCAGGCTGCAAAGATTCTGAAGGAGGCAAGGATTCTGAAGCTCCATCTGACATAACTTGGACATGTTGCAAGGGGGGGACCAGTCCTTGAAGAAGGACGTCATGCTTGGGAGCGTGGAGGGACAGCGCAGGAGAGGAAAACCCTCAGTGAGATGGATTTATTCAGTCACTGTGGTAATGGGAGTAGGTATGTCAGAGACAATAAGATTGGCACAGGATATGGCAGGGTTTAGGGCTATTGTACTTAGGGTCACTATGAGTCTCAGGCAACTTAACGGCACATAACAAAAACAACAGTCCAGTTGTAAGAATTTTTATAGTCACTGTTATCAATAGTAAATAACTAATAAACTCCTTGAAAACAGTAATCATAGCTTACTGAGTACATTACATATAGAGTTGTTAGATACCATTGAGTCAGTTTGGATTTCTAGTGACCCTGTATCCACAGGACCAAATACTGCCCAGTCTTGTACCATCCTCACAGTCAGTACACTGTGTGTGAGCCCAGTGACAGAGGCCTTTCTCATTTTTTCACCTTTACTTCGCCAGGGTTATTGTCCTCCAGAGATGAATCCCTCCTGCTAACATGCCCAAAGTACGTGAGGTGAAGGCTCTCCATGCCTAATTGTAAGGAGTGGTCTCACTGTAAATTTCCTCAGATATTGCTGTGAGGTGCCACTGTGTTGATTCTGACTCACAGAGACCCCCTGTACAACAGAACAAAGCCCTGCCTGCCCAATCCTGCACCGTCGGAAGTCACTAACGTCCTTGAGCCAGTTGTTGCAGCCACTCTGCTCCTCTCTCATCTCACTGAGGACATATAAGATAGATCTTAAATGTATGGATGTGAATCCCAATCCCTGGAGGGTTTGTTGAACCAGATAATGAGGCTCCATTCCCAGAATTTCTGTTTCTATTTTCACACTTTGAAATAGGAGCCAAGAGTCTGTATTTCTAACAGATTCCCTGGTGATGCTGAGACTGGCATAGTGTGATAGTGTGGTGTGCATATGTGTGTGTGATTTTTAGGCAAGGCTTTAAAAAAAAAAAGAATCAAACCTGAGGATTTTTTTTACCGTGCCTTTCGTACATATTTTATTGTATTAATTACAATACCCAAAATGTAATTTCACTTTTCCCACTTCCTCCTTGTAATTCTCTTTTTCATGAATCCTACCCTGCTGCTTTCTACCTTAAGGCTTCATCCTTGGAAAAATGCTGTTCTTTTGGCCTGATATGGAAAGTTATTCTCAGGAGCAGGTGCTTTTCTGGTGTTACTGTTCACCCTCTAGGCCTGTCTCTTGTTGCCTGACAATTGAGCCATGGGGGGTGAGTTTTATTCCACTTTCCAAGGGTGACTAACGGCCATAGTCTTGGGGGTTCCACCAGTTTCTGTTGGACAAACAAATTGGCTTTTATTGTGGGTTTGGTTTTTTTTGTTTTGTTTTTTTTTATTAATTATTTATTTTTCCTTTCAGTGAACATCTATAGAGATTTTGGAATTCCATTCATTCATTGTTGCACCCTTCTC